GAAAGAAAGCTAACGTTTTTAGATGCCTTAATAAGTCCTTGTAAAACCTCAGAAAAAGCGACAAAGGATTTCCCTTTTTTCACAGATACTTAGTGGCACTGGGGTGCTAGGTCTGATGGCCAGGTGGGGAAGGAAGCTCAGGAGCTGATCCTGTGTGAGAACTAGATTATAAAGGGGGGGCAGGGAGGAGGAGGGGGAATCCTGGAAGCTACTTCATTTAACATGAGCTGTGCCCGCAAGATACCGGCCTCTCTGATAAAGTTATGTTCACTACATGTCAAAAGAGTGTTCTGGATAGATTGCCTTAAAGCCAACATGTTAGTAGTTTAACTTCATGGACAGGGAAGCAGCTTAAATGTCCATGGACAGATGGTTGGACTAAGAAAATGTGGTATAGCCACACCATGGAGTATTAAAAAGCCATAAGAAAGGAGGAAGTGCAGGCATTTTCAACAAAGTACAGGGAATTTGAAAGAATTATGTATAGCCAAGAATTCAAAACAAATACTTTTTGTTTTGATCCAATTGTTGTTATCCAATTATCATAGATAACGTGAAATTCTCAAAAGTCAGTGGATATCAGTAACCATCCTGAGGGAGGAGATGTTAAGGGGGAAGATATAGTTGGGGAGTTAATCTCACTTGGTTTTACTTTTTAAAATGTGGCTGCTGGACATTTTTAAATAATACACATGGCCCCCACATCCACTGAATAGCATTGAGCTGGAGACAGACTTGCTTTTGGATTCTTAATTCTGTTTATTCCTTTGCCCACTTGTTAAGGGAGGGAGGGAAGCATGTTAACAGCAGACCTGCCCTTAAAAGTTTGAAAATCTGAGAGGATTCACCACAAACAGTGGGGAGCAGAACAGGTAGATCTACTAAATACACTGCTAGGGGGAGCAGCAGGGAGACAGGAGAGGTCTGATGTGCCATATGTAGGTTAGTTACCTGGCTGGGGATTCATGCGGAGGCTGGCAATAGCTTAATAGCACTGAAACTTTAACCCCTGTGCCACCAGGGAGGCCCTGTTGAGGGGATTTTGACACAGCCTGATTTTCAAGTACCAGAGGGGCCTTCAGAAATGTCAGGCAGTTGAAAACGTTTCAGAAACTGAGAAGAAAAGTCTGGCCTGGAGATAGAGATTACCAACTCTGGAAACAAGAATCATGTCTTGAGATCAGGTTTCAGTCCTGAAGGGCCTTTACATGTATACAGATATATCCACCCAGACAATCTAATCCAACTCACGTTGACAAATGGATAGGGACCCAGATATTCACATCTCCTCAACATAGAGGACCCCATAGGAGCCAAGGGAAATGGAGAATGAGATAAAGCCAATTACCAGTGTATTAGTGAGACAATATCTTGCTGTATTGGTAAGACAATATCTGTGTTGTTACTCTGGCCTTGCTTGTCCTCAAAAATAAGCTGCCAGCTGCTGCCTCTTCACTGCAACCTTTGCCCTACCCCAGTGCCTGCTGTCTTTCTACCAATTGCTAAGAAAGGGGGAGCTGTTTCTACTGGTCTCCTAAGTAGCAGTCATACAACATTTTCCACACAACAAAGTCCTAAGCTGTGGGAGGAATTTCTAAACTGATAGTGGTCATGTGGAGATTTTCTTGCCAGTAATCAACTACAGTGATTCACTTGGCTACTAATGGTGGATTGTAATCAAAAATCACATTTATGAGTCACTAATATTAGTAAGTGAAATTAATAAAACATGTTCAGCTAATGAGTACGGTGCTCACATCTTTTCTTGGAATTCTGGTTCCCCTTTCTATGCTCATTAGTTTGTTGTGAAGAATGTGTTTTCCAGTTGGCACGAAAGAAACAAGCACAATAGCAGGTTAGAACTGCCCCCCAATCTCTGCCATCTCTGGACTCTGTCCCCAATTCCACCACACTGTCATCTTCCAGACTCGCCAGAACAAGAAGCCAATGTCCCTCATGCCATGCTCTCCCTCACTACCCGTGGCCGATCCATCACATTCATTAATTCCACTTCCATGCTCCATGAAAGCCAGCCCCTTGTTTCTCTCTACGGCCACCACCCCATCTTCACCTTGTCCTTTTTTAGCTGCTGCGCGCCTGCTCCCACCATCCAGTCCTCTCGCCTCACAGCAGCTGAACTTCCATTTTATTTTTATCATCTGTTCCTCCCCCCACCGCTGTCTTCATCTTCCCCCACGAGGATGTAAATCTTTGAAAACACTGGGTCTTGTTTGTCTTAATCACTAGAGAAGGAAATGCCTGGCATTCTGTGGGTACTCAGTATGTACAGTACCGAGGAGGGGAAGAGAAATTTAGGCAAGAAACTGGGTGTTCTGTACTCTGTCCTGACTGCAACTTTCATGAAAGAAGAGTGAGTTCAGAGCTGGGTGTTCAGAGAATGACTGAGATCTGTGCCCTCTCGGTCTGCTGATGCAGACGTCCATATTTTTTTCTTTCTCCCCATCACCACCCTTTATGTCCATATTTTTTTCTTTCTCCCCATCACCACCCTTTATGTCGCCTCATCCCTTTCTCCCTTTTCTCTCCCACTTAACCCCAGGATCCTCATTTTGTTTATTAATTTTGTGGTTGGCCTGACCCAGGAAGATGATCTCAGCCATGGAAGCCACTGTACTACATTCCTCAGAGCCGTGGTGATGCACTGCCTGATGCTTAACAAGGTATTTCTGTTCCTTCCAGAAAACTGATAACATCAGTGCCTGACAAACACCAGAGGGCTGTTTCAGTTGGTAACACAAAAGAGAGCAACTAATCCAGAAACATCAACAGTCTTGTGATCAGCTACTCCAGACTGCCCAGCACCCAACACCCATCCCAGACCTGAGAAGGAAAAACCCTCCCCACACCTGCATGTCCTCACATTCCTTTCTGTCCTGTATACACTTCCTTCACTTGCCACTCAAGGGAATGGAGCTTTCAGAATCTAACACTCCTGTCCTACTGACAGGCAGCCACTCGCAGTAAAATGCTTCCTTTTTGGAGACAATCTGGTGGTTCAGATTTTGACTTTCTAAGCCCACATGATAAGAACCAATTAGGGCTCACAGGTATTTTGCTTTGTTAAACCTGTACTTTTAAAACACATTTCTGAGTTCATCACTCACCTGCATTAAACCCAGTTTAATGATTTCCCATTGCTCTGAAGTCTAAAGCCAAATTTGACAAAGCCTTACAACATAGCACATGTATCTGGTTTTGTGTTTTTCTCTCCAACTCTTCCCCTTTCCTGGTCCTGTGCTTTAATAATACTGTCTCTATTCTTTTTCTTAAATTCACTAAATCCATCTGAGCACCTCTGTCCTCATCCCCATCTGAGTTTTTCCCTGTATCTGGCAAATGCTCAGTTTCTCAAAGCTCATAAGCCTCATGGATGCCTTTTGAGATCACCTTGTTGAAACTGCTCATTTGCATTATAGTCTTCATTACATGTTAAGAGCCCTCTTGTTCATTTTTTATTCTTCTTCTTTCTGTCATCCGCATGAAATGCAAGCTCCATGAAGGTGGGACCCAGCCTGTTCCTACTACTCAAACTAAAAATGGAGTTCTCAGACATTGCTGAAATGCTACAGCTGCTATGGAAAATGGTTTGGCAGTTCCCCAGAAGTTCATATAGAATTACCTTATGACAAGAAGTATTCCTTTGGGTTTTACCCAATTCTACTCCTAAGTATCCACCCTACAGAATTGATGACAAACATTCAAATGAAGAATTTGTATATGAATATTCATAATAGCTCTATTCACAGTAGCCAGAGGTAGAAATCACTCAACTATCCACCAACAAAGGAATAACTAAACCAAAGGTATCACTGTATCCTTGTAGTGGAATATTATTCAGCCGTTAAAAAGAATGAAGGACTGATAATATCCATGCTATAATGTGAATGAACTTTGAAAATACGGTGCTAACTGAAAGAAGCCAAACACAAAAGGCCACATCTTGTATGATTCTATTTACATGATATATCCAAAATAGACAAATTCATAGAGCAAGAAAGCAAAATAGTGGTTGTTAGGCACTTGGGGGAGGGGATGATGAGGCATGATGCTTAGTGGCTACAGAATTTTCATCTGGGGTAGTGAAAACGTTTTGTAGCTAGAGAGTGGTGAGGAGTGGATGTGGTATGTGGGTAATGTGCTTAATGCTGCTGAACTGTGTACCTAAGATGGCTAGAATTGATGTGCATATTTTACCACAATTTAAAAAATCTATAATTAGGTTATGTATAACTATATGTTACATATGTTATGTATAAGCATTATAGTTATATTCAAATTACATTATTTAAAGAAATGAAAGAAATGTGTAATGAAAATAAAACTGAACTAATTTCACAATCACTATCATTCTGGGAATTACAGGAATCATTAGAGCCAGCAAAGACCATAGGGATTGACTACTTATGCCTACTTTATAAAATCAGTTTGTTAAACTAATTCAGTAACTTTCTAATTATCACAAATATCAGAATTACTCAACCTGTGATAAAATGTTTCCATCAAGGGGTTTATAGTTTGCTCTGATTCACTGGCTGGGGTAGTGTAGTGACCCTGAACTAAAAAGCAACCTCTTGGAAGCCAATGACATCTGATGTACTCTGACTCAACAAAGTATAAGCCATTCGAATTTATTTTCATTTCTAATTCTGGTATTGGGGTCCTAACAGATTATGTAAATTCACTAGCTTACATGTTAAAATAATAGATAGTCTGGCTCGCTTCATACTAAAATTACTATAAGCATTAATCTAAGAATGAACTACTAAACCATATTTGTCCCATATGAGTTATGCCAATTTACCTTTCAATACAGTTTTAACAAATTAGTAACTCACCCATTGCCATAGATAACTTTTTATAAAGGTTTCTAATTAATAAAATCTTTGCTTGCAGGGAAAAAAAAACCAGATTTCTCCACAAACTTGGACAGCATTTTTTTAAAACAATATTTCAGGCTGTCGTGTCACATTCTTCTCTAGCTCTTTGAAGGTGTAGGATGTGAGATCTTTAAAGTTTCACTCCACCTCAGGGTTATTCTTGAAGAGATACTCTGCCTATAATTGAAAGAAAGAAAAAAGACAAGTTGAAAAAGAAAAAAGTAAGTCAACAATTTAGAACAATTTAGAAGATACAAGATATTTATTAGTCATATGTGTTCTACTCATGTTTACAATTAAAAAGTACAATTGCATAAAGATGAGTAATAAAAGTCTTATGATAAACCATGAAGACATTAGAGGCTATTGCCCAAGTAACCAAATATTGTGTGGTCTCTTGACCTTAACTGGCTGTCTAGATTCAGGCACAGCTTATTTTCAAATTGATATTTAAAACAAAAACCTCTGGGGCCTCCCTCATGACCTAGAGGTTAAAGTCAGTGCTACCACCGCTATGGCTGACTGCAGCGTCATGAGTTCAATCCCCCACCAGGGAGCTGACCCACAGGATGCAGCAGATCTCTCCTGTCTCCCTGCTGTTCCCCTTAGCAGTGTATTTCTTTAAATCCTCCTGTTCTGCTCCCCACTCTGTCTCTGATGAATCCTCTCACCCCCCACACCCTGCACCTCTGACCTACAACCCATATCTTTAAAAAAACTCCTACCAGAAAATCGACAGGGTCATCTGGCCTGACCTTGCAGCACTCACTCAGGCCTCGCATGAGAGTGGGCATCACGTAGGTCATCAGATAGTTCCTCAGGGGGACAGACTGAGCTTCTAGTAATTCTCTCTCTTCTCTTTTCACTTCCTCTAATTGTTTATTCTGCAGGTAGAACATTTGGGGGTAGGGTAAACAGATGGTCAGAAAAGTGAGAACCCCAACATAGCTCCCCCAGAGCAGCTCAGATCTAGATAATGCTACAAAGGAGCAGCCCGCTGCGGTGATGTCAGCACTGGCCATCAGCAGAGCAAAGATGTAAGTGGTGTTGTAACAACTGCTGAGTCACTTAGAAATAGCCAGCTGGACCCTGACCTCACTTCTTAAACAAAAATAATTTCTAGTTATCTAGCTAAATCAAAGCTTAAAAAAAAAAAAAAAGATGGGGGAGGAAAGGAAAATAAATCACACAAGTGTTAACAGAAAGTCTGGAAGGGCAGGTGGGCCGTGTTATTCCTTGCTCAGCCTACAGCTGCCCCCTTCCTTAGGAATGATAACTCCAGTTTTCCTTTGAGAAATGTCCCTTCTCAGTCTAGTGTCTCAGATGAGACCTGGGTCATGAGCCCACCTCCTGGCTGTGAGTATTAGTTAAGGCCTGGCACAGCAGGGAGCACCTAAGGGTGACTCGGACATGAAAGGCACCGAGGCCCGGTCCTTTAGGGCATCGATGAGTCGCTATATGGAGCCTGGGCTGAAGCAAGCCTGGCTTGTGTCTTCTCTGAATCCATACATTGTCTTTATTTCCAAGCCATTTTGACTTCACTTTTCTGTCACTTGCAAGATCAAAAGTCCTAACTATGTAATTTGTTTGAAAAGAAGTCTTTCCCAGCCAGACAGCAGCCTAGAAATCAACACGGGGAAAAGATTGATAGATTTGGTTACTGTGTACATAAAGCATTTTGATGGCTACAAAGAACTGTAACGTTTAAAGCTAAATGTTGAGTTGAGCAAACTATCTGTCACATATGACAAAAAGCCAAGGCGTTGTGAGAATGCGCGCTTTCTGCCAGGCTTTGTAAGTATGAACTCTTCTATTACTACAGTGATGCTACAGGGACGTGCTATCACCGTCGTCACTTGCAGATGGAGAGCACGCGCACAGAGGAACTTGCGCTGGGCCCTCACACTGATTAAAAAACACAGACATACAGCAGTTTGGGAATCTTTGTCTCCCGGGGCCTTCCTGTTGCTGTTACACTTCCTTAGCAGGAGTTCCCGCAAAATAGAATTTTTAAAAAGGCACACAGCACACACATGGGCAGAGAAAATATGCAACATGAGAACACATATAAATACCTAACACAGGCCATGTTGTTAAATCTACAATCAGAGAAATGAACGCCAAATCACGAGCTGGGCTCTTGGTTATCAGATGGGTGAGGGTGAGCCAAGTCCAGCAAGGAGGGCAGGAGAAGATGCAGAGAAAGGCACTGCGAGATGGGGTGTGAGCTGGCTAAACCTTGCCGGAGGATAGTTTAGAAATACGCGTCCAAAATAAACTTATTCCGATCTAGCAACATTAGGAATTCGGAGATGATACCCAAGCGAGCGGAAAAAACGTAGTCGATCTAACAATACAAAAAATAAAATAAAAACACTGTTAACAAATGGGCAGCAGCTCTGAGTAAACAAATCTCCAAAGAGCACATCCAGAAGGCCAACAGCAACATAGAAAAATGTTCCTTATCTATTTTGATAAATAAGAATCAGATCAAAACCACAATGCGATTATCCTTTCACACCAGTGAGATATGGCACGTTACAAGGAAAGAAAAAGGCAACGTTCCAACAAGTGCTGGAAAGGGTGTGGAGAAAGAGGAGCCCGGCGAAGCTGTTGGTGGAAATGGGAACTGGTGCCACCACTTTGGAATTTGACCTGGATTTACCTTAAAAAGTGAAAAACGGAAACACTGTGTGGTGCAGCAATTCCACTCTGGGACAACTCTCCAAAAAAACAAGAAACCACTGAAAATATATCTGCTCTTGATGTTTATTGCAGCATTATTTACAGTAGTGATGGCACGAAAACAGCCCACTGTCAGCTGGCGGAGACCAGACCAAGGAGAACTGGCCGAGGGAAGAGGAAATGCTACCACTTACAGAGAAATGCAAGGGATCTGAGGGAGCGATGTGCAGTAAGGCCAGGCAGAAGGACATAGACAAATACTGGAAGTTTACATAAGCAGGCTGGGTGACAAAGCCAAGCACCTACACAAATGAGGGGCTAGTAATAAACTAAGTGAGATTTATGGGGCCAAGAGCGCAGGAGTGGGAGGAAGGGTCTAAGGGTCTGAAGGAAGGAGGTGAGGAAAGTGTTTTTTCAGTCATAGGATGGTAGTGGACTCTCAGAGGGGAGCGAAGCAATGGGCAATGTGGGTTTGGGGTGAAAAAACGAGCTCCATTCTGCAAATTTGGGGTCTTTGAAATCCAGTTTTGGATTGCAGGGAAATCCAGGCAATGGTCTAGATTGTGGAAAACAATTGGGTGCAGTTCAAACTGGGGGTGAAAATTGGGCCTCATTTGAGTTGGGTAGGCATTCATTGAACACACTCACAAACTTCATGTCAGACAGCTACTGTGGGCAGTGCTGGAAATGACTCATCAGTAGACTGGGAAGATGGCAGGGAGAAAGCTGAGCACAGAACTCTGGGAGGAAAATAGAGGCCTTAAAGAGGAGAAAGCCAGCAAAGAAACATGAGAATGTTATAGGAAAAGAAATGGCAGGAGAGTGTTGAGACAGCAAAGGTGAAATTGCATTTGAAGGAGAGGTGGTCAGGTGTTCAATAGTTCCATGAAGAGGACAGGTGGGTTAAGGCTGGAGAATAGTCTTTTGAACTTGGCATTTCATCCTTTGAACGCTGAAAGAGAATAGTGTGCAAAGCATGTCAGGCTACACGTGGAACGGAAGTGGTAGACAAGAAGTAGAACTAGCAAGTATAAATGACTCCTCTGGATTGTAAAATATATAGTCTAAAAGAGAGGGAAGTGGGAAAATAAGATGAAGAGGTGAGCTAAGTGATGTGTTTATTTGCAGGTTGGGAGGGCGGGGGTGGCCGGAAATCTTAGGACTTCATGCTAAAGAGTAGATCTCCAGGCACCCAGGGACACGTGTGTGTGTGTGTGTGTGTGTGTGTGTGTGTGTGTGAACAACCTCCTCGCTCTTCCCCTTCTTCCCTCAACAAATATTTGTTGAGTGCCTGTTACTTGCCAGACGTTATAAATATAGTAGTGCACAGCACAGATAAGAATTCTTGTCCTCATGTAACATAAATTCCATGCAGGGAAAAGACAATAAGCAGATAAACGTGTTTAAAACTCCATAGTAAATTAGAACAAATGCAAAGAGGGACATTAAAAGTGATAAAAGTGGATATTGCATATTGATGGGTGCTGCAGGGGTTGGAGTTTTAATGTGGTATTTAGAGAAAGCCTGGTTGGAATGACACCTTTCAATAAAGACACAAAGCAAGTGAGGAAATGAACCACCAGACAGGAGTAGTTCAGTGTCTGGAAAGTTCCTACATAAATTTCTCTGACCCACTGTTTCTATCAGTGAACTTTTTCTGCAGTATATGCATTCTTGAACAATCTTTCGAACCGCGTGGGTCCCCTCACAGTTAGAGGAAAGGAGCTGCAGGACCCCCAGATCCAAACTGGTCAGAGCCAGGCACACGTAGAATGACCAAGCATAAATCACAGTGGCCAGAGACCCTGGTATAATACCAACGTCTCCATGGTGGGTGGGGTTTGGCTTTCATGTTCTGGACCTGCGATATATGATGAAGCAGGTACAGTAGCTGCAGCTACCAAGGAAACAGACAAGAAAGAAGCTACCCAGGTATGATAGTGTCTGTTTGCTTCCTGCCAAAAGCTCCTGAGCTCTATTTTTAACAAAAAACAAAAACCAGGCTAGAGCTTTGATTTAAGAGTCACTTTTATTTTTAAGAAGGGGACTCCCTGGAGCTCTGGATTTTGCTGTGTTGCTTACAATTAACCCTGAATGTATTCTTACCTCTGCAGGGTGTCTCAGTCCTCTTGAGTGAGGTTCTTAGCAAAGACAGGTGACAAAGCCAATGACTGTCACTCAGAGTCACTGGGCACTGGAGCATTGTTTCAAATTGGGAAATATAAGCCAGGTCACAAGGCTGGGGGAGAGGGAGTCACAAGGAGGAGGTGGAACTTTTGCTGAAAGATGATAGAAAGTCTAAATGTTTAAACAGAGCAGCCGTGATGGATATGGATTCTAGCGGCAGCATAAAAACAAGCTAAAGCTGAACAGGGGTGTAGTTGACTCTCCTCTCCACTCCTTTGGCTCCACAAAACTCTGGGGAGAAACACTGTCAGGAGAAGTGGGGGAGTTGTGTCGGGGAGCACTTAGTGCTGTTGGCGAGTGGATTAGGTCAAGGCTCAGTGATTTGGGCAACAGAGGGGATGGGACCAGGCTGACCAGCAGGGTAGATGGGTCAACGGAGGAAAATCAAAGGAGACCATGGCACCCACGAGCAGCAAAAATTTACAAGGATGCAGATGAGGATAATTAGCAATGGCTCAGGAGTGCCATTATTGCTCACATAATGCAAAAAACCACAGACAACTTTGTAAAAATGGTACATACAACAAACACACACACACAAGTGTTTGGCTATCTGGGATATTTCTCTAGCAGCGAGTATTTCAGTAGGGAAATACCACTGGCCCAAATGGTATTTTTTTTTTTTACTATGAGTTAATTGAAAATGTGTCCCCCGGACTCACACGCACGCATGCACACACACCCACACGCGTGGGCACACACTCACCCACTCCTCCCAGCGAGCAAGCCTCTCCGCCAGCTCCGAAGCTTCCTTCCGCTCACGCTCTGCCTCCACCGCCGCCTCCCTGGCCAGGCGCTCCTCTGCAGCCTGCCGCTCCTCCTCTGCCTTTTCTTCGTCTGTCAAGCCATAATTCCGAGGCTCCCCGATCTCTTTGATGAGCTGTTTGATAGCAAGTCTGTTCTGAGCATCCTCAAGTTTTCCTACATCTTTAAATACCAGGAGACAGAAAGGAGAGCCACACACATGCTTACATTCTGAGCCGGCCTCAACCAGGAAAACTCTTTCCTACTCGAAATACCATGTGCTAACATAGTACATTCTGTCAATCGCCACACTGCTCTCGCATTTTCTAATTGTCTGCACAGTTCAGAATTTCGTATCTCACAGCAAATGTCAGGCTGGTACCTGAGAGTCATGGAAGAGTCAAGGGGAGGCGGGGCATAGGGGTTGTTGACTTCTGACAGGGTTGATTTCAGTGGCTGGATGAGGGGATGGACCACCTCGAGAGGAGTGAGTTTGCCATCCCTGGAGGCATCCAAGTATTGCCCAGTGCAAACCTTTACTTGTGCAAATCTGAAACTACGGACATTTCACTGAGTACTTGTTTTTCCAGTCAATGTTCTTCTCTAGGTGGAATCTTTTGCAGGCGCTGCCTGCTTTTTAAAGTCAGCCACAGAATCAGCCAGGATAGTTGAAACCTGCAGGCCCAGCTGAGGGGGCAAATGTGCCCCGAGAAAATATGTGCAAACCTCAATCCCGAAGGAAACCCTGACACCCTATTTGCTTTAAAAGCAGTACCCCCTCCCGGCCCTGCGAGGGGCGTGTTCACGAAGCTTCCTCCCTTGGAAGTTGACCCTCCTCCGTGGCTTGCCCCAGCCTGGTTATTGTGCTAATCACTGGGCAGTCACAGAGGGCAGACCCAGACAGACCTGGCACTTCACTCAGGAGGAAACTGAATTCACTCTATACATGTTGGGGGTCAGGCAGGGTGGGCTCCAGGTTTCTTCTGAGAATCAATGATTCTGGGGACACATTTTCAATTAACTCATAGTTAAAAAAAAAACAAAAAAGGCCCTCCCTGGTGGCTCAGCGGGTTAAAGCACAGCACTGAGAAGCTAAAGCCACTTCCGCATGAGTTCGATTCCCGCCTGCCCCGGAGGAGACCACATGGCGCGGCAGACCTCTCCTGACCCGCCCGCTGCTCCTCTCAGCAGTGTACCTCCTCGATCTGCCTGTTCTGCTCCCCACTCTGTCTCTGGTGAAGCCTCTCGCCGCCCCTGAGCCTCTGGCCTGTACCCCAGTTCTGTATGCACAAATCAATAAATCTTAAAAAAATTAAAAACAAAAAAACCCCCACCATTTCAGTTAGCCTATTTGAATACGAAAAAGTCCCAACTCCAGAATATCTGATTCATGTTAATATCAAGACCAAAAGGAGGAGGAAAGCAGACTTGTTGGGGTAACAAGGACTTTCCCCCTGAGCCACGAAGGTAGTAAATTCGACATCACTCTCTTGCGTTTGCTTGGCAAGTGTCTGTCTACAAAGTGTGCGGTGGCTGCATTTTAATAGTGAGCCCCCCTTTCCTCCGGGTCACTGCTCGCCACCCCCACACACAATCACTGCTGTGCTCCCCTTCCCAGGCTTGCACTGTATAAACTTGACATTCAATCAACGCACCGTCAGCATCTACTGAATAACTGGGAAAGAACAGGGCCAATGTATGGGTGGGCGGGTGAGGAAGCAAGTCCCATCAAACAGAGAAGGAGAACCATCAAGACTAAACACACTTCCATCTGCCACCTCCCTCTGTCTTTCCCCCCTTTCTTTTAACTTGCCATGTGCTGTTGAATGGAAAAATCTGCCAAGTACTTTCTCAAAGGGACCCAGGAATTCCACTGAACCCCATCATCTGAAACCCCGCACAATCATCCCAATGTTAGAGTCTAACAGCGGGGTGCAAACTCCAAGCCAGTGATGACCTCTTTCAGGACCCACCCCCACCTCCACACTCCCGACACCTCGGATGCCTAAAAGCAACCTCCCAGCCTGCCCCAACCTGACTTCCTGAACAGGGGGCTGCTGGGAAGCAAGGGTGGAGCTGAGCAGCCATGTTGAATTTAAAATAATGAACATGTACAAGCCTGAACTTTCTTTTTCTAGCTTCAGTGCTTTGTCAGATGGGAGGAGCCCACTCTCTTGGGAGACTCTTCTGACAGACAGTGGCAGCCACCACCTGGACTGCGTTGTCGAGCGTACAGCGTACACTGACCGGCGTCCATTTTGAATGTAAGCTCTCTCTTTTCCCAGCCCCGGAGACTCTGAATAACCCCCTAGTTTGTGATTCCTACCAGCATTTGTTTCCTGGCAGCTTTTTTTTTTTTTTTAGCAAAGCTAAAATGTGGTTAAGAGACCACTTTTTTTGTTTAAAAAAGCAAAATACCTCCCCACAGCCAGTCCATTTCAGGTCCTGCCGATTTGGTTGAACTCAAGCCCATGAGGGGATAGTTAATTTCAGAGTTGGATCAGGAGTCTGTATTTTGAAATCCTTCTCCACCTTGCCCCTCTTTCTCCCCTCTCGATTCCCTTTGAATCTCTCACTTACTACAAACCCTTAGCAGCAAGAGTCTGTTTACTTTGTTTTTGTGCCTGCCAGTGACACATACTCCCAGAATGGACAACCTGGGTTTCTCCCCTTTAACCATTTGGGGCCCTGTGGACACCTTGGCTTTGCCCAGTATTGGTCTTGGTTCCCTGAAGTTTTGCTGGTATCACCAATTCTCTACGCTCCAACTGTAATCCCATGTGGCTTTTGGGGGTGAAGAGAGGTATTTGAAGGCCCACAGGGCCAGCATGGATGCTACGCATCCGCCAGTCCAGGGGATTCTCAGCAGACCCAGAGGAGGAAGTGACAAGATCCTGGAAACAGGAAGTTCAGGGGGTCAGCAAGCCTAGGGGAGTAGAAACAGCAGTAGCAGCAAGGGCTGTATCTATGAACAATCACGAGTCGGGAGAGGCAACCAATCAGAATTTTCTCACCCTAACCACCTTCCATGTTGTCAGCGCCTCATGGTACCTTTCTGCTTTCTAGAGGGGATGCTGTCCAGCTCATGGATTATTTAATAACACCTCTAAAATTAGATATCAAAAGTGTGTCAGAAGAATTTCGATTTTTAATGGTAACTGTGAGGGTTACTGGCTGGTCTGAAGCCCAGAAGGGGCTCTGTGAAGAGCACCAGTGTCCCCACCACACTGTGGGAATGGAATGCTGCCCCCCACGAAACTGAGTAAGGGCCCAAAGCCCCTGACAGCAAATGCACACATCTCTGCAGTGTCTCCCCCGCCCCATCAGACCCCCAAGTGGGCCGACTCCCCAGAAAGAGTGCGTGGTCCACCCCGTGCCGCCCAGCACCCCAGGTACGTAATCACACTTCCCGGCCTCCTCTAGCCCCACTGAGACAGGCACCAGCCTGGGGGTCTTTGTCATGTGGTGGGGGGGTCGTCGCCTCGCTCACGTTACCCGGAGTTCATCTCATACCGATTTGTACTGGGTGGATTTCAAGTTCATCAAAATAGTTGAGGACCGTCTCGTCATCGGTGTTGATTTCCCGATAGTTGCTCAGTGACCGCAGGAAACGGTCCTGGCTGTAGTGGGTCCCTGCCACCACACTCTCGGGGAGGTTCATCACCCGCTCCTTCAGGAACTCGTCTGAGGCGTCCAGCGCACAGATGAATTCTGGGGAGAGAAAGCGGCCCCTGAGTCAACACACTGCAGCAGAGCTGGGGGACAGGCCGGCCACTGCTTCATCAAAATGTCCGGTGGCCAGTGGGATTTGGTGTAGCTGTTCAGTGACGTGGCAAACTGGCCTCTTGCTGCCTGTCCCAGAGGAAAAATCCCTGAGAATTGCCATGTTTGCAGAGATCATCTGAGGAGGCCAACCAGGTGGTATTTTGTCTGATCTATGATTTTTCTTTCCTTTCCACATTTTCCTCCGGTCTTCCTTCTTTCATTTAAATAAAAGCAGCAGGGCCCTCCCTGGTGGCGCAGCGGGTTAAAGCACAGCACTAAGAAGCTAAAGCCACTTCCGCATGAGTTCGATCCCCACCTGTCCCGGTGACCACATGGCGCCACAGACCTCTCCTGACCCCCCCGCGCCCCCGCTGCTCCCCTCAGCAGTGTACTTTGTCGATCCGCCTGTTCTGCTCCCCACTCTGTCCCGGGTGAATCCTCTCACTGCCCCTGCACCTCTGGCCTGTACCCCAGTTCTGTATGCACAAATAAATAAATCTTTTACAAATTAATTAATTAATTAATTAAAGCAGCAGAAGGCCCTCCCTGGTGGTGTAACCGGTTAAAGCTCAGCACTGTGAAGCCGTTGCCAGCCACTGCAGCATGAGTTCGATCCCCAGCCCGGGAGCTGACCCACAGAGGGCATAGCAGATCTCTCTTGTCGCTCCACTGCTCCCCTTGGCAGTGTATTTCAGTAGATCTGCCTGTTCTGCTCCCCACTCTGTCTCTGGTGAATCCTCTCACTCTCATCCTCTGGCCTGTACCCCAGTTCTTATATGCATAAATAAATAAATCTTTGAAAATAAATAAAAGCAGCAGAAACAGCAAATAACAGATTCGTGGTGGAGAATACATGAAGGCGCTCAGGTTTTTGCACCATTGGCCTCTGCAGCCATCACCTGTGGCCTTGAATGCAGGACGCGCTGGGGAGTGTGGGCACAGGGCACGCGAGCTATGGTGGGCATGTGGTGTGGGCCAGCATAAGTGGCACACCTGAGCCTGGAGGCGGAGCATATACGGGCCGCATCGCAGAGGACAGTGGGCAGCAGGGTACGTAGGCAGAGTGCACTGGACGGCACCAGAGACCAGTGGAGAGACCAGGAGAGAAGGCCAGAGGGCCCAGAAAGAGTAAAGACTCTCTGGGGGCCAGGGCCTGCCAGCCTGCCAGCGCCCTGGGCCCTGCCATCCCTGCGCTTGCTTGCCCCTCTGCAAATGGTGTAAAAAGACCAGTAAGGGCCCGAAAAAGCCAAAAGGCTCCGGACACTCCTTGACCCGTCTGCCGGGATCACAGAGAACCGGCCGCTGGCCTTGCTGGCGCTGCAGCTAGCCACGGGTTCCTGTCGTTCGCTTCCTGGCGACCTCTCACGTTGCCTTGTCCCACACAATAGCTGGGCCCCCAGAGAGACCCACAGTGGCAAGTACCATGCAGGGGTGGTGGTCGGGAACTTCCTCCCCACCCTGGGTCTGTCCTCGCAGCACGTCACTGGCGCTGGGCATCATGTTCAGAGCAACCCAGATAGCGCTGACAGTGGCATCTCACCCCCGTTTTTCTTTGAAACTATGAAGGTCGTTGTTCCTTCAGCTACTAGCACAGGCCTAGTGACTACGCTTTGCGTGCACCAGCGAAGTGCAGGTCAGTGAATGCAGCTCTCTGGCCATATTCTTCCCCTCAGACATTGGCAACAGGACCAGAGGACTCCGAGCAGCTGAGACCCACCCCTGGTGCCCCGATCAGGAGCTAGCCAGGCACACAGCCCACAACTGTAGCTCTGCAGGCCTGGCAAGGGTAGGGGGCGATTTAAATTTCATTCTGAATTGTGTTGGTCTGCCCCACAGTCGTGCCATTGTTGCCGTCCAGTTGGGCTCCCCTAAAAAAGGAGTGTGGGGGTGTGTTCTCACATGATGAGGAGAGACGACAAAAGGTTCAGCTAGGTGTCTGTCTGGGGTTTATGCGTTTCCTTGACCAGACTCAGAAGAACTCATCAGGGTGGGGAATTTCCCCCTACACCACTTAACTGCATTCTAATAAGTGTGAACATGATATAAAACGTACTGGAAAATGACCCCTCTCTGCTCTGGCAGACAGGAAAGCCAGCCTGGCTGAAGTCTGAAGCACTGCAAAATCTGCTGCCTGCAGGCAAAGCCCAGCTGTCCAGCCCACGGATGACCGAAGGGTCATTCAGATAGGTGTTTTTCCAAGATGTCAGAACAGGCTTTTTGTATGTGTCACCTTTGCCTGTGGAGCTAAGGTCAACCAAGGCCTTTAAGAGAAACTGTTATCACTGTTTAAGGCATGAGGGTTACCCAGATTTAGTGTCATATCCAGAATGAATTTTCTTTTGGAGTAATCTGTCTTAAAGCAGGGCAAACATTTAGCGGCAGGGTTTCGTCAAATGAAGTCTCTCCTCATCATGTGAGAACACACCCCCACTTTCCTTGATGCCCCAGGCCCCTACCCCCTTGGAGGTGAACCCTAAGTGTCTCTGCCCATTTACTCTGGAATTTACAGCCATGTAAATTCTCTACATGTCATTAAATTTGGTCTTCTTCTATTAATCTGTCTGGGGTTTATGTGTTTGCTTGACCAGACTCAGAAGAACTCATCAGGGTGGGGAATTTCCCCCTATACCACTTAACTGCATTCTAGTAAGTGTGAACGTGGTATAAAATGTTCTGGAAAATGACCCCTCTCTGCTCTGGCAGATAGGAAAGCCAGCCTGGCTGAAATCTGAAGCACTGCAAAATCTGCTGCCTGCAGGTAAAGCCCAGCTGTCCACACCATGAATGCCCAAGGAGCCTGACAGAGAAGGCTGGACAACAGGGACTCAGCCTTCCCACCCCTACAATGCCTGGCCTCCCTCTGAGAATAGAAAGCACCAGCATATCTTCAGGTCAAAGCAATGTAGAACTGGAAGGCTCTCCTATCAAGAATAGTTATGTTGTTACTGTTATCACCTAACAGATGTCTAACTGTCCAACTGTTCCTATCTATTTAAACTCTATTCAAATTTGTGTTCGTTGGAATAATTCTTTTTTTTTTTAAAGATTTATTTATGCATACGAGAACTGGGGTACAGGCCAGAGGTGCAGGGGAGTGAGAGAAGATTCACCAGAGACAGAGTGGGGAGCAGAACAGACAGATCAACCAAAGCACACTGCTGAGGAGAGCAGCGGGGAGACAGGTCTGCTGTGCCATGTAGGTCACTCCCTGGCCGGCATCCAACTCGTGCTGTGGTAGCTGTGGACAGCTGCATAGTGCTGCACTTTAACCTCTGGCGCCACCAGGGAGCTCTTGTTGGAACAATTCTTAAGGAGGAAAACTGTTGGCCTGCTTCCAGGGTGGAGTCCTCAAGCTGTCTAACTACCATTGAGACTTTATTTCCAGTTAATACAGGATTTCTGTGGGTGAGTTAAGTGTAGAGGGGCTGAGCCCAGTGCAGGGTGCTCTCCACGGGGCACGGGGCCCAGGCATGAACACTACCCGCTCCCCGTGTTAATGGGGAACATAAAAGCTGAGGACAGAGCTTGCAGAATCAATTCATAACCGTAGTCTACCACTTCCCCTATGCCGACTCCGTGTGGCTTAGTTCAGATGCTCATTTTTGATCATTTGATGTTCGTAAGTTACATTTTTGAAAAGGAAGGCTGGATCCCTCTTTCCCCAATGCTGGGATGGTGCTTAACTCCAAATTATGCTCCATGGTGTCAGAAATCTACATCAAAGCTTAATGATTCTGTTACTAGCTAAGAATGTCACAAAATGATACTGTGTCTTTTCCTAGTGATCAGGAGATAGAAAAATCAACTCATCAAATATTGAGAATAATCAGTGAGATAACTGGCTTGCAGTTTTCAAATAACTTTAATAGGATGAAAGCTGTTTTCCATCACATGACAATATGTTCAAGTTCCTTCTCTTACGATTCAGAGAGAACATCCAGATTTTTCAGAATCTCAAGATAATTATTCAGAGCATCTGCTTGCCTCATACTGGCCAATCTACTAGCAAGTAAGAGATTTCTGCTCAGTTAAGATTGTACATAACAAGGGGGTTTCTGTATTTGGCTTGTGGTTACACATGCAAACATGTGAAACGCATGTTTGCAAATAATTTTCCACATATCTCGTAGGTGCACCTTACACCTGGCTTCTTCAACTAGGAGACTGAAAAAGGACCAACCTGGATATAGGCCACCAGCAATGATAAAATGCACCCATTTATCAATGTGAGATGAAACCACCTGGCACTTGCTTACCGTAGGCTGGAAGGTCTCATCGCTCATGCAGGTATGGGTGCTTGTGTTGGCTATTTATTATTTCCTGTATCTTACACTGTTTTGACAAGTGGAACGGGCAAAGTTCTTACAGACCCAGAGAGGGACTGCTTTCTCCAGGGCTAGCTAATTCCCAAAACAGCACAATTCCTGGGAGCAGACTCTCATATGCAAACCAACCACTTTTTATACAGCTCTCATTTGCCAAGTCAACATGTCCCCACTTTAAATCATGCTACCGTCAGCTCTGTGGCAACTGGATTCCAAAGTCCACTGAAATCCCTGAAACTGGCCAGTCCCCTAAAAAGCTGCTACCACTGCTCCTCCTTGCTTTTCCCAATAAATCCCAATGAAGGGCACAGACTTCCTCTGCCTCCTGCTTCTGCCTCTTGACCAAGCCTGGGCTTCCCCACAGGGCCCTGCAAGGTAGCAGCCCCCATCTCTGGGGAAATCCTAGGAATAAATTCCACCAATGGCATGAACCTCCTCTATGGGGGCGAGCAAAATCCTGTGGATACAAGTGAGACAATGATCTAATTTCTTTCAGGAACATAAAGAATAATGACAGTATTTACTAATTTACTAAGAATGGGCTAAACACTGCAAGTAGATGACATCTCCGAAACGTTGGGGCCATTTCCATCTCTGAGAGGGCAGCCCAGTGGACCAGGATTAAGAACCGGCCATCCCTTTACCCCGGGTGTCCTTTCCTTATCTTGTGGAGGGCGTTCATCAACTCTGGCTTGTGGACGCCGTGCAGCGAGAAGACCCCGGTTTGCTGTCAAGCCCTCCCATTTATCAGGTACGTGGACTTCGATACTCTTCTGGGCTTTAGCTCCTGGTTCAGGGAATCACGGGGACAGTTTGTGCTGGCAGGCCTGCAGAAGGACCCATGAGCTCCTGCCTCCTGTGCTCCCTGGCGAGTGACTAGTGTCATCAGCCGCCTCAGCAGGAGCACCAGGACGCCACAGGGTTTGCAGCAGCGGATATGGCCCAGAGGGATGAACCCTCATACAATGCACAGGCCTGGCTACTTCAAAGCAATGGATTTTTAATGGATCAGGCGAGAAAATAATAATAATAATGAACGGCTATATACCAGAGACATTGAACGGGGTGGAGTGGGGAATGGGATCAAAAATGTGTGTGTGTGGGGGGGGGAGTGCATTGGACTATGGTGATGGCACAGGGTGATTTGGAGATGGGAAGTCCATGGGGATTATGACTGAGATGGAAAAAGGAAGAAAATGATGTAAAAATAAACATATATATATATAAGCAATAGGTTTTTTGCCTTTTCTGAGTATTATGTAAGTCAATGGGAATCTGAGGCAATCCTTCCCCTTGACATGTTTTCTCTCTGCCCATCTCTTCTTTCAAAGCCCTCGGCCCAACCATAGTTGTGATTCTCACCCCAGCACTGACAGTAACTGCTGTCCAGTGGACCCAGCACTTCCGGCTGCCACGGCAGGCCGCAGAGCCCAGGCAGAGGCCAGCAGGTCCTGAAACAACTCCTCCCTGGACTTTGACCCAGTGAAAGGCCCTTCTGAGTGACAGTCATGCGCTAGGGGCTGAACATAGGATTTGCCTGGAGGGCAAACATTATCTTCTGTGATAACACCTCATGCAAATTGATCAAAGCAATTTCAAGCTCATGGCAAGGCCACAAGAAATGCTGGCCAGGTCCATAGCTAATCCTCCCTTGCAGACTGCTGCTTATGGCTTTGCTTAAAAGAACACCTTGTGAAACCCCTGTCAACACGGATCAATTACATCTGCTGTGGAGCTGACAGTCTATGAAAAGCTTTTAACCTGTTCACTCTCGATTTTGGATTCTGAATTTGGGCTGGAAAGTTGATGGCATCACAAGTACCTAACAGTCGGCCATCCACATCCAGTCCCTCCTGGTCCAACTGACTGACTCAGAGACCCCGGCACTAGCAGGTCGGCTTTCTGACAGGACAGAGCAGCCAAGGGAAGCCCTCCACGTGGCTTCTGGCCCTGTAACAGCCCTGACATTTCCCCATTTGAGAAGTTTGCTTTTCCGTGTATCATTTTACACTTTTTCCTGGGAGGAAAAAAGCTATTTTATTAACACCCCAAAGACTGTTTTGTTACAAGAGATAGTGATTGACATTCCTTTGATGTGACTTTTGAGACTCTCTTAAACTTACCTGGTATGATTACTTTATCGAAGGGAAATCCTTTGCCTCGGATCTCTTCTTCCTCCTCTTCATCATCTTCTAAGGAGACAGAATATGTACATTGTCGTGTCTATGATATATCATTAGTATGGGGAGCACAACAAAAATAGAAATAGGGTAAGTAGCAGTCACTCACGAAAGACAGCCCTAAAGAGAAAAGTGTGTGCTTTAGAAGTGCTTTTTTGGTTTATCATGGTGGAGTAACTGAGTGTAAAGAGTCGAAGCGAAAAGAACCAGAACTCACGGCTGAACAGGTCTTTGGCTTGATCGTAGGTCTTTGGGTAACCATCTAAAATGTAACCTTGATTCCTGCAAGGCATGGATTTCAGTTTTTCCTTTATAAATCTAGTGATATATTGATCTTCCAGGCGGCCTAAGAGAAAAGAAAATTACTGTGAAGGCATATTCTCCACAGGCATTACATCCTAAAAGTAGCTTAGATGCTTGATAACCCACCAGCACTCAGCCTTTTTTTTCCACAATCAGAGAAGTTGAAAGTCATTTCAGTGATGACCTGGAACCCTGCCCGCTGGATCCAGTATCCCCACCACACTTCTGAATTACGTAAAGAGAGCTATAAGAACCCACAGCTAGGGCATGCTGGGGCCGTGGGGGCCGTGGGGGCCATGGGGGCCGTGGGGGCCATGGCGGTGAGATCAGGAGGCTGGCGTAGAGGAGCGTGCAAAACCAGTCCTGCCGAAATCATGTGAGAACAAATCAGGTCATACGAGGGAGACAGCAGGGACCATCTGTGTCTCCTGCTGGAAAATTCCAAGAGGTCTGTGAGTAAGTTCAAAGGTCTTGTTTTGTTCAACCACAATCAAGGTCCATGTTCCAGGTTCAGGTAAATATGCATAGAGCGGGTTTTGGGCAAACTTGAGGAAGGAAATTAAAAAAACCGGAAAGCCCTTCCTAAGGTTAGAAGGGATGGGATGAGCTCTTCCGTCTTGGAGGACGGGGGTGGCTGGGTGGCTGGGTGGCTCGCAACGGGATACAGGGTGGGGAGGGGGGACCTGCTGCTCTGCAGAGCCCCAGTGTCCCCAGACGCCTCCTCTGCTTGCTGCAGTGTCCTGCCAGGCAGGGCCACTGACCGGTTGGGCGGCTGTAGCACCTGGACATGGGCAGGGTCCCCTGCCAAGGACAGGCACTTCTCGGGCCTGGCCCCCGGGCTTCTCCCCAGGCACCAACGGCTTCTCGTTTAATGTGCTCACCGCCAGGGCCTGAAAAGAGCTCTGTCCCTCCTCCTGCTCCATGGCAGCCTTGGATGAGATTTGCGGTCCTTGCGTAGAGCTGTGAGTGTCTGCCAGTAGGTGGCCCTGGCTGTCTGGCCTGTTAATCTGAAGAGCTGCCCTGCCTTTCCGTGGGGGCAGCAGGGCTCTCGGCTGCCAGAGCCCCGTTTCTGGCCCACAGCACGTCCACGTGGCACGGCTTCCTGATGGTGTGTAAAACGCCCGGCCCCTGCCCTTAATGTGGCCTTGCTGGTTTCCTGCCACAGGCGTCCTCATGACGCAATGCCTCTTCTTCCCCTCCCCCAAATAATGGGAGCAGGGCCTCTGAGGAGGCTCTAAAGCCAGGACAGTGACTCCCTGGTGTCTCTGGGATAAGCAGAGGCAGCGCTGGGCCTCGGAGCATGGATCTTGTTTGCTGGGAGCCTTTCTCTGCCTCTGGGAGAGCTCTCTACGCTTCTAGGACCCATTTCCTTGTGGACCAGCTCACATCCAAGCCAGAGCCACAGCTCAGTCATGGGGGTGGGGGGCATTCAAGGGGAAAAAGGGGCTCAGTGGCTGCCCAGTGTGTGGGCGCTGTCTGGGCAGGATCCGCGGAAGCACAACACCAGGCAGGAGCAGCCAACACGCGTGGCTCGGCCACCCAGGGCCACGGACACCTCAGACCTTCTTCCCTGATGCCCACTAGCCCCAGCCCAAACCCCAGGATCAGAAGTAGCCAGCAGCAAGGGTGGAGTAGGGGAGGGGAGAAATCACATGTGCTTTGGAGGACGACTACCACAAGCACCCAAACTCTGGGCCACGCTCGCACTGACCTTAGGTCATGCTAGAACAACCAATTCGCTTGCATGGAAGAATCCGCATTTATCTGTAATTTCTTCCCGTGCGAATTACTGGTGTGCATTCGTCATTTGTTTTTTTTCTACTAAGGACTTTTGGGTGTGTTTTCTTATTAGTTTGCCTGAGCCTTTTACATAGGAAGGATATAAACTCTTAGTCATATTCCTGGCAAGAATTTTCCCCTAGTTTGTCTCTTACCTAGTAATCAGTGATACTTGATACTTATAAAATAATTACAACCACACACTCGACACATTTATCTTTTCCTTCTTAAAAGTAAGAATTTTTTTTGGTCAGAAGTAATTGATTTGCCAACTGTTTACATAACTATAATCGAGGGAGCACAGCATCACACCCCTATGTGCCTGTTGTTGTTTTTTAACTTACATAGTTTTTCCTATTTCTTTTTTTTTTTAAGATTTATTTATCTATGCATAAAGAACTGGGGTGCAGGCCAGAGGAGCAGGGGGTGAGAGGATTCACCAGAGACAGAGTGGGGAGCACATCAGGCAGATCGAGGAAGTACACTGCTGAGGGGAGTAGTGGGGAGACAGGAGAGGTCTGCCGCGCCCTGTGGGCCACTCCCGGGCCGGGGACCGCACTCATGCTGAAACGGCTGGGGATAGTCTCGTAGTGCCATGTCCTAACCCGCTGTGCCACCAGGTAGGGCCCTTTTTCCCATCTTTTGATCACATAAGTCACCAAAAATTGTTAAAGGTGATTTCTTTTCCTGGGTGAGGAGTTAGGTTGTGTATGAAAGTCTTTGTTGCCGGGGCTTCTGGACTTCAAGACAGTCAAGACGCCAGCACAGCCCGCCCCCACGGCAGGCCGTTACCTGAGTTCTGCTCCATGCTTTCCTTGACGCCCTCCAAGAGCTCCTGGGCTTCGTCCACATTCTCTTCTTCCTCCTCCTCTTCCACTTCTTCCTCTTCTCCTTCCTTAGGTGCAACAATCGCCTCCTACGCCAGAGGGAGATTCACATTGCGCGATGCCCTGCCTCGCTTAGCCACTCACGGCCACCTGGCAAGCGAGCTTGGCAAAGGCTGATTCCGATCAGGAGGGGCACTCCATGGCCCCCCACTATTAGTGGGATTTGAGGATCTACATCCACAACATCAATGAACCCCTGGAAGTTTCCTTCTGCTTTCTCTAGGGAACAATCCCAGGCAGAGCTACTAAAGCATCAATACTTTTCGAGGTATCTGGTTGGAGCTTATCTGAAAGAGACATTTCGTGGAAACGAGGATTTCCAGTGATCCTGTATAGAAGTGTGCCTCAGTAGTCACTGTTCCCAATAAAATGACAGCAAGCGCTTAATTTGGGGGCAGAGGAAAGGCAGGCACAGGGGACGTTTAGGGCAGTGAAACTGCTCTGCACATTACACGTGGGTGCCTTGCCCAGACCCACAGGAAGGACAACCCCGAGCCAACCCCAGTGGACACGGCAGCGGGGGAGCAGCAATGATGTGTCAATGCAGGGTCATCCTTTGTGACCACTGTCCCACCCTGGTGGGGGCCTGGGGCCGAGGGAGGAGACTGTGACTGGAGGGACGGGGTGCCTGAGGCCTACCACTCACTCTTGCTGTGAACCTGATAAAAGGCGTTTTAGCAATATAAGGTCCTTTATTTAATTTTTTAGTTCTTTTTTTTTTTTTTTAAGCAGTTACTAGTCAAAGAACCAGACATCATGAATGACAAACAGAAAGAACACAAGGAAATTTGGAGCTACAGCTGGAGACAGACTAAATTTCAAGGGCAGCCCGCAAAAGCTGCTCCCATTGCCCAGAGGAGAGTCCTGGGAGTGTCTGTATTTATGGAACTGAGGCAAACAATAAGCTCCAATCAGAGTAAGAGAATTCCTTGCAGGATGTCAGGCAAGATGAGTGACTTCCTTACTCTAAGACTAGAAAGGCATCTTGAGAGCATGAAAACTCCCTCTGACGTAGTTCAAAGCGTTACCAGTCTTGCTATGGCTTCAGAGACGACGTCCTTTAATTTAATGTGATGCAGCTTGTAGTGCTTGCACAGAGCCTCGGCGATGCTGGTCTTCCCCACGGCAGGCGGGCCGAGGATGCAAATCTTGATGGGCTGAAAGAGAACCGAAGGGTCTAGTGAGTTCTGACCCAGCTGCCGCCGGGCAGCACGTTAGACTTCGGGAGTGTGCCTTAAAGGCCTGGGAGTGTCAGTCCCTTCCATCACCGCCCCGTCACGGTCATCGCCACGTCCTCCCCACAGTGCGCCCCACTCAGCTGGCAGCTGCTCGTGGTCACTGATCCAGCAGGCGTTTAGGGAGCACCTGCTACGTGCGCTGGCCTGGGCGAGGGGACACTCCACGGAAGCACCACAAGGCACTAGGGACCAAGTCTCCAGTCGTGCAGCGCTGAGCAAACAGCAGAGAGGTGGGGGGCGGGGGGAGCAAGAGGGAGGGGCCGGTGGACTATGGGGCTTGGGGGGTGGATGAGGTAACATCCATCTGAGGGGGGATTGCACCCTTAGGTCATATACGGTGCTGTAAACCAGTGTGATCTCAACAAGTAATAATGAACAACAAACAAAATCCCCAAAGAACTCAAATCGTAAAAGCTTCCAGCTTCATACAGCCTGTTACTCTCATGTCGATAACAAAGAAACAGGAATTTCTAGCTGGTGTGCTGAATGCTTAAGGTATTGCCTCATCACTTGTTTCTGGGCTGAACTCGGTCTTTGATTATACTTTCCTTTTCATTTTTTTGAAGATTTGTTTATTTTATGCATACAGAACTGGGGTACAAGTCAGAGGTACAGGGGGAGAGAGGATTCACCAGAGACAGAGTGGGGAGCAGAATGGGCAGATCTGCGAAGTACACTGCTGAGGGGCGGTCTGCTGAGCCCTATGGGTCACGTCCCTGGCTGGGGATGGAACTCACGCTGCAGTGGCTGCAACAGCTCAGAGTGTGGCACTTGAACCTGTTGTACCACCAGGCAGGGCCCGATTACACTTTCCTTTTTTAACACTGCTAATTCATTCTAATTTTTTTTATGTGTGTTGGGGAGGAGGACAGTGCATGGGACTATGGTGATGGCACACGGGTGAATTGGTGATAGGAAGCCCATGGGGATTACAACTGAGATGGAAAAAGGCACAAAATGATGTGAAAATAAACTGTTATAATAATAAAAAAAATGCCCTCATTATGAACACCACCTCCTTGTCTTCTACTAAAAAACTTGTTTAAATGCTGAAGAAATTCTCCCTGCTTCATACCCAGAGAGCAAATGAAAACACCAGTAACAGAGAGTCATTTCTTTCAAAATTGCCCAGACTATTACGAAATGGAGGCTAGTGTTTTGCAAGACAAATGAATTTTTTAAAAACCATGCCCATGGGAAGAATTCCCATTGCCAGAGTGCCGGGAAGTTGGTTGTGACTGTCACTGTCACCTGACAGATGAGAAATCCAGGGCTGAGGAGGAAGCAAGCCTGGTTGGGGGTGGGGGACACGGAGGAGTTGGCGGGCCTGGCTGGCTTGGGACGGGGCCATGACCAAGATGGCTCCGTGGAGCGGGGACAGGTGCACTGTCACTGCTCTGCTCAGGGCCTGGTTGCATCCACACCTCCAGGCCCGAAGTCAGGATGCAGTTTATTCATGTACAAGAGCAACAGGCTCTGAGCTCAGGCCACTTCCTGGTGCTCACGTGCCAGAGTGTTTACCCCACCTCCCGGGCCCTCTTTCCCCACCCCAGGCAGGTGTGGAGGGGAGCTCCGAGGCTTCTGTTCACAGCATGTGAGTTAGATGAATGGATCATATTTTGGCGTCCGGTCACGGTGACATGGGGCCTCTCTCTCTGCAGGGATGACTCTGCCTTGAGAAAAGATCCAGGATCATGGAAGTCTGTGGCCCAAAGCCCCCTCTGGAAGCACCCGCAGTGGCGCTGACATGCCGCCCAGGCCCTGTTCCCTGGCTCTGCTCCCTGTCGTGTGAGCCCTACTCAGGGTGCTGGACTTCCAGATACACTTACTCCTTCTCCCTGTTCTTGTCCAGGCCTGCTGACCCGCAGCCAGGTGGTTCGTCCCTGTGTGGTTTCACACTGAGCCCCAGGGACAACTCGGGGGGACCCCTGGGTTTGCTTCTGTCTCAGAAGAGTCTCCAGGTACAGTCACCCCTGCACCTCAGGTGCTCAGGGGACCGTGGTTTCTTTCACTAAGGGGTGCGCCCTTGCCTTATTTGTTCATTTACCTGCGAGTTTTTGATCCTTCAGACACAAGGCCGGGCCCCCTTGCTCGGCTCCGGGCACAATGCACTTACGCTTTCGGTGGCACCTGTGACTCAGAGTCTCCGATGTTCAGAGCAATTTCTCGTCTCTTATCCACTTTCATCTTAGGAATGCCAGGACTCCCCAGGCGGAGCACTGAGATCTAGGCGAGGGGAACCTTCATCTGATTTCAGAGAGGGAGGCGCGGAGGCCTGAGGCCACTCAGGCCTTTCTAGCTGATGGGATCTGCTGGTTTGTGACCTTCAAGAAGGTGCCTCACCTGTCTGAGCCTTCATCTCCTGAGCCATGTTATGGAGACAAGGACATCTACGTGGATGTATATAACCTGGCTGGAAGGGAGCGATCAGAGCGATCAGAGTAATAGTGCTGCTTGCCCTCCTTTCTCTCTGCTGAGCACACCCAGGGCTGAACAGGCAGGCCAGCGTGGCACCTGCTAGTTCTCACTGTAAGGACAACTCTGTGACCAAGGTCCTGCTCCCGTGAGAGACGCATGATTCATCACCTGTGTTAACTTGAAGATGTTTGATATTCTGTTGATCACTACTAACATAACATACATGTCAGGACCTCCCTGTTGGCCTAGGGGTTAATTCTCAGCGCTATCAGCACTCAGGCCTGAGTTCCATCCCCAGCCAGGAAGTGACCCACAGGGCGCAGCAGACCTCCCCTATCTCCCTGCTGCTCCCCTCAGCAGTGGATTTCAGTAGATCTGCCTGTTCCGCTCCCCACTCTGTCCCTGGTAAATCTTCTCACACTCCACTCTGGCTTACACAATTCTTCTATGCAAAAACAAAACAACAACAACAACAACACATCAATTGACCTCAACCCATGGGCCACATTTGACAAAGAATTTGAATTTTGAAGTTTGGGCATGTGAGAAAGAAAACACTTTCAGAGTAGGGTGACCCTGAAAGTTCCATGATGGTCCTTACATGGGGGACCCAGACAGGCCCGGGCAGTTACCAGTAAGCCTCTGCTCTGCTTGTACTCCTTGAGGATGCTGTTGATATTTTCCACGAATCCTGACTGGGCGGTCCAGCGGATGTTAAAATTCTCCTTCACATACAGTGCTTCCATCCTCAGACTGACCAGCAAGTGGTCCAGGCTCTCTTGCTGGGAGATAAGACAAGGTGGGTGATTTATCTTTCTTTGCGTTTATTTACACAGAGGCAACAGCCCCGAGCCGCTGCTGTCATTACAGGAAAATACACCCCCAAGCTCTTGAGGTGAGCGGAAGGAGCAGCCCGGAGCAGGGGGCTCGGGCTCACGCCCCCCGTGACGCCTCCCGCCTCCAAGGGCCCTAGACAAGCAACAGCAAGGGGAGGAACTGCAAGCCCACTATGTTTCTCCTTAAGTACCTTTTGTAATAGCTGCGTTTTTAATATAATTTAAAAAAAGATTTTATTTATATGCATACAGAACTGGGGTGCAGGCCGAGGTTTAGGGGCCGGGACAGAATTCGCCAGAGACAGAGTGGGGAGCACAACAGGCAGATCGATGAAGCACACTGCTGAGGGGAGCAGCAGGCAGGTCAGGAGAGGTCTGGGATCACCTCTGGGGCAGGGGGTCAAACTCACACTGAAGGGGCCACGGCCAGCTCTGCAGTGCTGTGCTCCAACCCACTGTGCTAATGGGGAGGGCCATAGCTACTTTTTTGTTTTTTTAATATTTATTTGTTTTGATGTATACAAGAACCAGGGAACAGGCCAGAGTTGTGGGGGGCAGTGAGAGGTTTCACCAGAGACAGGTCAGGGAACAGAACAGGCAGATCTACTGAAATCCACTGCTGAGGGGAGCAGCGGGAAGACAGGAGAGGTCTGCTGCGCCCTGTGGGTCAGCTCCCTCATTGGGGATTGAACTCATGCTGTGGTGGCTGCAGACAGCTTCTTAGTGCGGTGCTTTAACTCCGTGCACCACCAGGGAGGGTCCTGTTAGATCTACTTTTTGAAGAGTGCAACCCCATCGTTCAAAATCCAAAAGAAAGAAAACGCTAGAGGGAAAAAAACACCCTTAGACCCCAACGCCCCCAGCCCCCGCTGCTCTGGAGACTCTGGCTTTTCACAAAGAGACCCAGATGTGGGGCTTAGGCGCTGCCGTCTATCCCTGAGAGGAATTCTGTGCAGAGCTTGAAACTGCGCTGATTTCTGTTGCAATGGCATCGGAATCTCAGCCCCTCCCGGAGTGGCCAAAGGGCCCTGTGTTTGAGCCCTCAGACCCTCTTATCTATGAGGTTGCTTTCGTGGTTTCAGCCCTTGAGATAAACGGTGGTTCGAAAACATTACCTAAGATACTTGAGAGAAAGCGAAAACATACTCACATTAACTTTTATCACAGAATATTATCATTGTTAGTCATTGTGTTATAATCTCTTACTGAGCTAAACCAGAAGACTAAACTTCTGGGTGTGTCCAGGGGAAGATGCGTTCAGCGCTAGGCTCAGTTTAAGGTATCCACTGGGGTCTTAGAACATATCCCCCACAGAAACGGGGAGAGGGCTAGAGACAGCGTAGCTCATCAAACAACTTTTAAACCCACTTTCTGACCGCAGCCTCTGAGGGTGTTTCTGGAAGGAAGATAGAGGTTTGCAGAAAGAAGACAAGCTGCTTTAGGGTCGAAGTCCAGTTGTGCAGGAGGAGCTGAAGCTGTTTGGAATGAAATATTCTGATTCCAAAGCTCTCAAGAGCCAATGCATTTAGGAAAAGAGTAGGAAAAAAAGAAGCAGCAGCAATTCTTATATACTAACTGTCAAGTCCTTGGTTAGGAAAGCATTTTCTTTTGGTACTTTCTGGATTTTCCCAGGGCCAGTACTTTTACTGATGCACTGTTAGGGGGAAAACAGAGAGAGATTATTTAAGATGTCAGATAAAACTTCTCAAAAGATTGCAACATAATAGAATACAAGAAATCTTTGCAAAATGGAGAAGCACCGAGGTATTCACTGATGTATGTGCTCTATCTGTGTATGGAACAGTCACTGGTGCACACCAGGGAGTAGAGGTCGGGGTGCAGAAGTCTGCCCCCCATGCTCAAGGAGCTCCCTGTCTGCAGAGAGAGGCCGATGGACACACACTGATGTGCAATATTTGCAGCTGGCAAGGGGGTCGCTTGGGAGCCCCAAAGATAGGCACGACCTGCCTGGGAGGCGCGCAGGAGGCAAGCGGTGCAGAGCAAGATAGGCGAGAGGATTAAAATGTTGAGAAATTAAAATGGGTAACAGCCCTGACGAAGTCGGGGCGCATTCTGCAGGCACCTGACTGCCGGGTAATCTGTGTTTCCAACCACACTCATCACCCTCACTGCACTCGCATCCTGACACCCGGACTTGGGGAGTTTCGAGAGATGATGCTCGTCTCTCCAAAGGTCAGTCAACACTGTGGGACCCTGGCCTCACAGAGGTCAAGCTGTCCATCACTGCATGCGTGCAAGCACCCCTCCCTTCTGCGTGCTTTTCTTTTGAAATCAAACCGTAGGGGAAGTTATCGGTTCCCTGGTAGGAACTGTGGTCTCTGTAGCGCTGCTGCATAGACTTTACACAGCGGCCACAATGTGGCCTGGCCCAAGGGGTGACTCCCGAAAGACCCCAATCAAAGCTTTCTTCTCTCTTGCAGGCAAAGCTAATTATAGTTAACATGAGCTGAATCTTCAAGGCCAGTAGGGGTTGGACACGGGAAGGGCTCCTGGTGACGGCTGGCTTTGGCCAAGGGAGTCTGGACTGGAATGGAAGCCCTCACTGCTGGCCCTGGAAGCTCAGTGGGTTTGGCGGCCATGTCAGTACTTTGGGGCAAATGCTCTCAGAGACCCTGCAGGGCCCCGTGTGATCGCGCGTTGGGGTCCCCAAGAGCTTCCTCCCCGAGCCCCATGGTAAATACAATGGAGCAGAGAGGCCAGGGGTGGTGGTGGCCCTTGCAAAGTCTGCAATACAATGGGCTTGGTTTCCAGGCCATTCTGTTTTAGAAATGCCTGGCCTTGCCGGCACGCCTGGCTCCATAACTTGACTTTAGGGTCAAACCATTTGCGAAGTGCCATTGGGCTGGGCTGACACAGATTTACCTTGACAATGTCTTCCAGCGTGAGAACAGACTCGTCCACGGCCACCAGGTAGTGTGGCTTGGGCACGTGGTCTATTATGTTTTGTACGACTCTGCAGAAAACAGGGAAAGCCATCAGGGAGGGACAAAGCCAACAGATATCATAGCAGAATGTGTGGCCTCCCTTCCTGGGCCCAGCGTGGTGCTGGTGTTTCAGTAAGTCGTCACATTTCCTTCCCAACAAGGACAGAGTTGTTAGGGTGATGAGCTAGTGGGAGCCCAAAATGGCTGGCTTTGGCTCCGCTGGTATCAGCAATGTAGCCACTGGGTTTACCAAGACCCAGAAGTCCAGTGAAGTCTCACAGCTGTGCTTTGGGGCCGGTGATGTTGCATAAGATAAGACACAGATGCAGAAGATGGTGACTCACCTGGGGATGTCCCTTAGCATGAGTCGCTACGACTTCCTACACCCCAGGACTGTGGACCATGGCCAGCCTCTGAGGGCTGAGCTGTCCTGAACCCACCCAAGGGCCTCTGGGTGTGAGGCCACCCACCTCTCACGGCCCTGCCAGAGAGCAGTCACTACCCCTTCTCACAAATGAGAAATCAGACCAGAGAGGTTAAGTTACTTTCCCAAAATCACAGAGCTGAGGAGAGAATTCCAGAGAGAAGTAATAGGGGCCAGAAGTCAGGCCCCACTTCCACACGAGCTTCCTTTTCAGTAAAATGAAACTAACGCCCCCACCAGAATGTCTACTTGACACTGATTTCCCACACATGAACACGTGGCACAGTCCACTTTTAGTTTCTTTCTTTGTTAAATGTTTTGATGATTTGTCAAGAAGCCTCAAAATGCTACGGAAAGGGGGCCCAAGTCCTTCTGCAATGGGAGTGACTTAGTATGTCTGTGCAGAAGTCAGATGTTAAGACTCAGGCGAGGCACTTTGTTTAAATAACACAAAGATTCTCCCACGTCTGTCAGCCTAATAAAGTCAAATCTCTGCAGCAGGGCCTGTGACCGACAGCCCACGTCTGGGCGATTTGGGCATCAATTTTGACAGATACAGATCTAGATTTGGGGTGGAGCCTGAAACATAAAATTGAGGGGCACCTTTTTAAAGAAAACATACTAAAAATTAACTTTAGGGGCATGGAGGGGCCCCCCCATAAGGGAAAGTTCCCAAAGTTTAAGTTTCATTGTCCACCACCAACATACAGATCCGCCAGGGCTTATGACCCGTGTCTCAGCGGCCAGTGGCTGAGAGGCAGAGAGGAGAGGGAGTGCAGAAACAGACCCTCTGGAGTGTTCCCGCCTCAGGGGTGAGCTTGGGGTGGCAGGAGAACGCCCCACGAACCCGAAATGTGGAACTGATGAGCCGCACAGACAGTCAACCATCTCCCTGACCCGATGGCAGGTAAGGGTCTGTGAAGAGCTGGGGTCCTCATCTCGCCTGGAGCCCGAGTCGGGCGTCCCTGTCCGTGGGAGAACCTGTGTCCACTGGACTTACAATGGCGTACACACTCACAACCTTCAGGTTTAGAGCTCGCCATATGGTCCTGGAATTCACAGTGGTGGCTTGGGCCTATGGCGCTCATCTGGGACAGAAGAATGCGGTGGTCAGAGGCCCTGCAGGAGGCACATGTCAAGCACTTTCTTTTCCAAAATTGGAAGACAATCTATTCTGCTGTTAAATTCTGGAAAATGAGCTTGAACTTGCCACCAAAGTGTGGCGTTTTTAGCTGAAGGGCGTTTTCTCATCAGATACGACGTACAGTAAAAACAGTAGCTTCTGCGTCGTGTATGAAGGACAAATTTGGCGGCACATGTGAGGGTCTTAGCGCCTGGTAGTCACCCACTAAGTGTTCATGGGAAAAGGTGAAGCACAGCCTTGTGGGACCCAATGGAGGATCAAGACGGGAGGATACTGAGGGAAGTAAGCCAGAGAAGGCACTTACTGGACAGCTTCACTCATTGGTGAAATATAAATAACCAACAAAAACAAGTCAGCAAAACAGGACAGGAATAATTCTTAGGTCCCGTGAAAAATATGCTGGTTCCCAGAGGGGACTGGCCGGGAAGGGAGGAAGGGAGAAGGGGAGGAAGTGGGCAGGGCATCCCCTGGGCCTCTGGTGGCCAGTGAAGGTGAAAATTATGCAAATGATTGGCTGATCAATACCATTTGACAACAAACACATTCTGGCCTAATTCTAGGCCAGTCGTGCTCTGGGAGAATGCTTACCCGGCTAGATCAAGAACATGAATTGCTGGGATCACATTCGTTCCATCTCCAAAAACCGGTAATGCAGGGACCTCACCCAACCAAGCTATCTAAAAAAGAGAAAAGCGAAGCTCTGTGTGACTGGCCGCCGTGTACAGGCAGAGCCAGTCAGCATCAGAAGCGCTCTCCCCAAAGGAATCTCCGCGAAGAGGTATTTCGTAAATCAGCCCTGCTGAGTTTTAGTTGTAGAGCAGATCCTATTACAAAAAATAACAGTAACCTCGGGGCCGAAATGCTTTTAAAAAAATCTATAACCAGCTATCGTCAGGCATCAGCAGTGTGGTATCTACAAAGAGAGAAAATGCTGTTAAAGACATAATGCTTATCATTCCCATTTTAATCTACTGCTCTCAGTTAGAGGAAATTGTCATCATTCATAGACGGAATGCTTAATAGGTGAAGGAGATGACATTTCTGGGAAGCGCCTGAGTCCGCATTTGAACTTGATCTTAAACCCTGAGTCCAAGCCTGTGTCTCTTCCAGTCTGTATTTCAGTAAATAAATAGACGGACTAAGCACCACGGCCACATGCTAGGCGATTCTCACTTGCTTTTAAAGAGAGGAAAAGCGAGCGCTCCTTTAGCAACAGGCTAAAGTGCAGCCCTGCAAGCTGGCCACAGCTGCCTCAGTGCAAGTTTGACCCCCAGTCAGGGAGCTGACCCACGAGGCTCAGCTCACCTCTCCTGTCTTGCCCGCTGCTCCCTTCAGCAGTGGATTTCAATACATCTGCCTGTTCTGCTCCCCACTCTCTCAGGTGAATCCTCTCACCGCCCCTGCACCTCTGGCCTGTACCCCAGTGCTGTGTGCATAAATACATCTTTAAAAAAGAATAATAAAAAGTGGAAAAGGTAGAGGTGGAGGCCACAGGGCACCTTCACAATTTTCCTGTTACCCCCTGTTAGGGGGTGCAGTGCAGTGAACTGGGGCCACTTCCCCCAACTTACAAGCAGCCACCTTGGTGACTCCCAGACCCAGCGTGCATGAACTGGACTTTCTGAAGAAGGGAAGGGGGGGAGGGGGGGTCAAGTCAAGCTTGATAGAGTCAAGTTAAATAACTGAGCACATGTGGACTTGGGGCACTTGCCTGGGAAGCCTCCCTTGCTCCCTGGAACTGCTGGGAAGGAGATTTGGCAGGGGCACAGAGGAGAGATGTAGACACATGTAGACGGTTGTCCTGGTCCTTGGCAGAGACAATGGCGGCCACGTCCTGATCTCACAGTGGATTATGTGGTCTATGCTACCGGCTCTCTCCCTAGGACTTGCCTCCCCCACCTTGTGGTTCTCAGCCGGAAGGTGCCTTAGGCTTGGGGCAGCTTTCAGACTTCAGTGGCTCCATATTCTTTCTTCTCCTTTCTCTATGCACACTAGTTCTATTAAAGACCTTTCATACTAAGTATTGCTCCCTTTGGGCAGCAATGGCTGAATCCCTTTCAGAGCATGTACCTCTTAAATTTGGAGGTCCATAGTTACCCCTTGGCCACGTGTGAAAATATCCACAACCTGGACATCTCAGTATCGCCACCATTTACACCCAGGTCTGTCTACTCCTGCCCCACTGGGTCAATTTTTTTTTTTAATTTTATAACAGTTTATTTTTATATCATTTTGTACATTTCTTTTCCCATCTCAATTATAGTCCCCGTGGGTTTCCCATCACCAAGTCACCCATGTGCCATCACCATAATCCCGTGCACTTCCTTCCCACCCCCCGTTTTTGATCCCGTTCCCCACTCCACCCCCACAAAATGTCTCTGGTATATGGCTGTTCATTATTCTTGTTATTTTCTCGCCTGGTCCATTATACTCCTGCTATGAG